TGATAAGCCTCATCTACGAGAGGCCAGTTTTGGCTATCAATTTCAGGTAAGAAGTCTGGTAGGGACTGACAGCACCCAAAGTATGCTCTAAAACAGGGCCAGCTTGGAAGATCCAGAAAAGCCAGAGCAAAATGGATCCAAGTGAATAAAGAGCCAATGTACTGACAAACAGTTGAGGGTGGCATTCAGCTCAAAAGAGGAGGAAATACAGAGACAAGAGTAGAGAAACCACAAAATGCAGCACTTGGCTTGCTTGGTATTTTCTATGAGGGGCACAGCTAATGTCAAGAAACAATTATTGACCTTTAAGTCCTAGTCAATCAGGAATAAAGCAATGCTTCTGGCAATACAACTCCCATTGCATATGATAAAAAAACATGGTCAGTCACAGTGTGGCTAAACTAGGGAAAGGAAATTGAGAAAAGCACTTAGGCTGACCTAAAGACAGGTTTCATCAAACCCTGGAACAAAATTGGAACTGACAACTCTATACATTGCAGGTCACAACAGCAGCAAACAGAAAAATGTATCATCTTAGTTAGATGTGGTATGGTATTTTGGAATATAAATACTAGGTTAACGAGGAATCTAAGAAGTCATGTTGTAAATCATGACCACTGTGACAAAAGAGAGAATTTTAACATGGCTGAGTATAGAAAGAACTTATGAACAAAACTTTTTTACATCTGCTTGTGTAGTCACCAGTATGTAGATTTTTTAAAATTTGGTATCATTAATGTACATTTACTTGAACAACATTATGGTTGCTAGACTCCCCCTATTATCAAGTCCCCATCACATACCCCATTAGAGTCACTGTCCATCAGCGTACTAAGATACTACAGAATCACTACTTGTCTTCTCTGTGCTGTACTGCCTTCTCCGTGCCTGACCCCCTACATTGTGTGTGCTAATAGTAATGCCCTTTTCCCCATTATCCCTCCCTTTCCACCCATCCTCCCCAGTCCCTTTCACTTCAGTAACTGTTAGTCCATTCTTGGGTTCCGTCAATCTGTTGCTATTTTGTTCCTTCGGTTTTTTCTTTGTTCTTATACTCCACAGATGAGTGAAATCATTTGGTACTTGTCTTTCTCTGGCTGGCTTATTTCACTGAGCATAAAACCCTCCAGCTCCATCCATGTTGTTGCAAATGGTAGGATTTGTTTTCTTCTTGTGGCTGAATAATATTCCATTGTGTATATGTACCACATCTTCTTTATCCATTCATCTACTGATGGACAATTAGGTTGTTTCCATTTCTTGGCTATTGTGAATGGTGCTTTGATAAACATAGGGGTGCATATGTCTTTTTCAAACTGGGCTCCTACATTCTTAGGGTAAATTCCTAGGAGTGGAATTCCTGGGTCAAATGGTATTTCTATTTTGAGTTTTTTGAGGTACCTCCATACTGCTTTCTACAATGGTTGAACTAATTTACATTCCCACCAGCAGTGTAGGAGGATTCCCCTTTCTCTACAACCTCGCCAACATTTGTTGTTGTCTGTCTTTTGGATGGTGGGCATCCTAACTGGTGTGAGGCAATATTTCACTGTGGTTTTAACTTGCATTTCTCTGATGATTAGCGATGTGGAGCATCTTTACATGTGCCTGTTGGCCATCTGAATTTCTTCTTTGGAGAATGGTCTGTTCAGCTCCTCTGCCCATTTTTTAATTTGTTTATTTGCTTTTTGTTTGTTGAGGTGAGTGAGCTCTTCATATAATTTGGATGTCAATCCCTTATCAGATATGTCATTTATGAATATATTCTTCCATACTGTAGGATGTGTTTTTGTTCTACTGATGGTGTCCTTTGCTGTACAGAAGCTTTTTAGTTTGATATAGTCCCAGGTGTTGATTTTTGCTTTTGTTTCCCTTGCCCAGGGAGATAAGTTCATGAAGAAGTTGCTCATGTTTATGTCCAAGAGATTTTTGCCTATGTTTTTTTCTAAGAATTTGATGGTTTCATGACATACATTCACGTCTTTGATCCATTTTGAGTTTACTTTTGTGTATGGGTTAGACAATAATCCAGTTTCATTCTCTTACGTGTAGCTCTCCAGATTTGCCAACACCAGCTGTTGAAGAGGCTGTCATTTCCCCATTGTATATCCATGGCTCCTTTATTGTATATTAATTGATCATATATGCTTGGGTTTATATCTGGGCTTTCTAGTCTGTTCCGTTAGTCTATGGGTCTGTTCTTGTGCCAGTACCAAATTGTCTTGATTGTAGCTAATATTTTCAAACAATTAGAATATGGAATGCAGATTCAAAAGAGTTAATCTTTGCCTATAAAGTAGGAGGTTTTATTGAAAAAATGATCAATTTATAAATATAAATGACATAAAACATAATCTGTGACATTATTTGTAGAACTGCTTTTAGAAAGGGAGTTATTTATTCCCTACTCCACGTAACTTAACTCTTATTCCAGCTTTAGCCCTATTGGTAATAAAAAGAACAGGGCAAAGAGAAAACTATGAGGTCACTAGCTACACAACCGAGAAATGAGCCTGAAAGGATCAAGAAGAACTTCAATGAAATAAAGTTATATACCATGTCATACTGTTTCTACTTCATGTGCGAAAATAACAAAGGACATTAAAGAAAAGAGGTATGTGGTATGAATACTCATGGAATTTACTAAAAAAAGCTTTTAACCATCATAATTTTAAGAATTAGTCAGTTACATTCTGTATGTAAATCGTTTTGAAGAGCAGTTAGTTCATAAAGATCAAAGTATCAGAGGACATATAATATCTACACATCTGTTTAAAAATCCTCCCCCAATTTATGAATATCTGACACACAAATGTCCTTTGCTATACCACACACAGAGGAAGGCAGGTTCCTAGGTAACTCAAGAAAATAACATTCTCTTTCTCAACAGCCAGGGGGAGAGGATGCTTCAGATGCCATTGCATTCCTTTTGCACTGTAGAAAGCCACTACCTACATATGAATCCATTCAAAATGATTAATTTTACTGAACTAGGTCTGAGTTGAGTGTGCACTATTACCATTTCAACAATATGGTGAAAACTAATGTTGAGTACATAAAGCTTATTTTAGAAATAAGTCTTCAGATATAAAATGTGTAAACTTGTTCATACTCTCCTTTTTCTTAGTGCCATCTGAATTTATTCATGCACTGGTTGCTGGAATTTAAGTAAAGGAGCAAGTGATCTGGTGTACACTTTAAAGAGATCAACCTGGTTGGTGTGGTGGGAAAGGAATGAAGGGTGTCAAGAGACAAAGAGGTATATGTATGACAACTAGGGGGCTTTTGCAATCACACAGATTAAGAAATAGTAAACTGGAATAGGATGGTGGCAGTAGAGAAAGAAACAGAGGGAATAAGAAACAGAACTTGTTGATACCAGATGTGATTACTGGAAAGAAACAGAAGCATCAAGAAGAGACTCACTAAATTTTTGACTTGGGACCTGGATAAGTGGAGGTACCATTTACAAAAGGGGGAAAACAAGAGAAGGAATCACTTTTTGTTTTTTGGGGGTATGTTGGGTTGAGGGAAGATGAAGATTTTGTTTTAGACACCCAAGAGAATATGTCAAATAGGTGATTAGTTGAATATATATATATATATATATATATATATATATCTCTGAAGTGATCAAGCCCAGAGATAATAGATTTTGGGAGATAATAGAATTAGAATGAATGTCAAGTAAATAGGGACTCCAGGGTTTTTTGCTTTTGTTTGTTTTTAATGATATACCCAAAAGATTGCCTGAAATAACATTTGGCAAATAGCAGGGATTCAATAAATAGCTGTTGAGCGAATAAATGAATAGGCATAAAGATGTACTTAAAGTTAGAGGGTGGTATGAGATTACCTAGAGAAGGATATATAAATAGAACTCTTAAAGCTTAACAAAACATGGACGGATAGAGAGAAAGATGAGGGAGAGTAGGACTGGGAAGGTAGAGAGGAACAGTTTCAGCCAAGAAGACTGAGGAATAATAGTAGTGGAACAAGAGGAAAGCTTGAAGGCTTTTCTATCAAAGATGCCCATATAAAAGAGTGTTTTAAGGAGAGAGTGGTTACTTATGACAAATCCTGTTGAAGTTATGTAAAATGAGAAAAAAGTGTTAACGATGTCACTGCTGGTTGGATCAAGGATTATTAGGGCACATAATCCACTCTAACAGGAAGAAACACAGCACAGATACAGATGCAGGTAGGTTAACAGATTTTGTTGTGGGAATATAAGGAAGTTCTCTTAATAGCCTCTCTTTTCTCAAGGAATTAGGGAACAAGTATCAGTCAAGAGTGAATATTCAATAAATACTATGATGAGAAATAAGGTATTATGGGCACGGAGGAGGGGCACCTAACTCAGTGTTGAGGTGGAGTGCAGGGGAGGTTTAAATGATGAACAGGAATTAGTAAGGAGCGGGTAGCTAGAAGGATTAGGAAGAACATCCCAGACAGGCAGTATCTGAGGCAAAAGAGAAAGAGTTCAGAAAACTAAATGGTGAGACCTAAGAGCTACAGGTAGGGACTGGCAAGAAATGAGGATGGAGAAATAAGCAGGTACCGAAGTCAAAAGGAGCCTTGTATACAATGCTAAGAGACAGAAATTTGTCATGAGAATAATCAGAAGTAGCCATTGAAAAGTGTAATATATATTTTTAATTTTGGTGGACTTCACATCAGTTTTGGGAAAATATCTGTGTATTTAAAGAAGAGTATATTTAATATAAGAGTAGGCCATTTTATATTCAGTATTTAAAATTGGAGGAGCAGTATAGCTTAATGGTAAAGAGTTTCAATTTTAGATCCGGAACACCTGTCAAATCACAGCTATTACCACAGCAGTTGTGTGACCTTTGGCAAATTATGTAACCTGTGTTTCAGTTTCATTATTTTTAAATGGAATTTTTAATAGTAAAGAAGTACGAAACAGGATCTTCTCAAGAGGGCTCTCAATATATTAGTGTGTTATTCTGTAATTATTATTTAAGATGTAATTTTACCTGCTTTTTAATGGCATAATTTTCACCATCTTCAGCTTTCATTTTTTCAATCTTTTCTTCTTGTTGTTTTGCTTCCTTTTCATACATCATTTTTTCTTTGACCAGTCTACAAATAAATAAAAAATGTTTTAGAAAATTAACTTTCTCTCTAGGAAACAGAACACAAGACAGAAAATATGTAAATATAAAACATACTTAAAATACTAAGGTATATGTATTAGACAGGGAGGAGGGGGGGGAAAGAAGAAATCTTCATGCCCTTTAAGTACTTATACACCAACCCAAAATTCTTAAACTTTTAATTAAAAACACATTTCACAGTAATAACTGTATTTACAGTGTAAAAACAACACTTAAATGATTATGTACTAGCATTTCTGTCTTGCTCTTTTATGGATATGTTTTCCAAACTTTTATAATGGACGTGAAAACAACATAATGACAAAAGCTCAGCTTACTAGAAAAAAAAATCAACATATTGCATGCCAGACCCAAAACAAAGAAAGATTAGATTATTTTCAACAACAAAATTGTTTATATGGTATTTACTGTGCACTTAATTTTAGTTCTGACCTTCCATGCATAGGTAATTTAGACATGGTTCTTTTAGAGACTAATAGAGGCAAACAAGTATGTATTTACTAAAGCAAGAAAAGGGATTGATAAAGATCAGTAAGATTTTCAACAATAGAGGAACAAAGGAAAAAAGCAATACAAAGTTCTACTGTTCTTCAGGTAACTAATATTTAATTACCATAATAATTCAATCTCCCCTAATCCTAGTTAATCAAACTTTTGACATAGAAGCAAAGTGTAGTCCAAGAAAACCACTAAAATTCCTTTTTTTTGTTATTAAAGCATCATTGATAGACAATCTTATGATGGTTTCACATAAACAACACAATGGTTTCAACAACACTAAGATTCTTTTCAACACATTATCTACAGAGCAGAAGAAAAACTTTCACAGTCCATACATATTAAAAGCAGCTTACTCCTCCATTTGGCTTGCTTATTTCTAGACCTGTGCTGCTGGGAAGGAATTTAAAAATCATATTAGAGCACAACTTTTGTCTAATGATTTGCAATGAAGACTTTTAGGTGTACTTCTAATAGTACATAATACAAATTCACAAATCTAAAAATATATATATTTTGTCATATTACCTACAAAGCTTTTAAGTCAGATTTTAAGTCTGGATTTAAATTACTACATATAGCACATACTAAATGTTAAAATACTAAAATGCTGCAGGTTGGAATTTCAGTGTATGCAAGCAAGGCTCATCCTTTCCTTCATGATCTTGTGTTACTGACATAAATGGAAGGAAATTTAACAAAGTATTAACAGTATCTACACTAGAATATTATGTGACCTTCATACATTCATCCTGAAATACCTCAAAGTAAAAAATCTGAAGTACAAAATAAATATATATTTTGTGTTGCCATGAGTATAAACAAGCAATAAAGGACACCCAAGAAATGAGTAACAAAGGACATCTGGAAACAATTACTTGTAATTAACCTAAGGAGAAAAGCCCTAGTAATTTGGGGTAGGGAGTTCATCTGGGAGGTAAACAGGGAGGAAGCTTTCATTCAATGCCTTTCAGTATAATGTGAGGGTATTTTTTTAATGTATAAGTATTACTTTTATCAAAAAAGTTAGATGTTCAGAAGTTGAACAAAGATAGTGGCGTGAGTAGAGCAGCGGAAATCTCCTCCCAAAACCATATATATTTTTGAAAATACAACAAATACAACTATTCCTAAAAGAGAGACCAGAAGACACAGGACAACAGCCAGACTACATCTACACCTGCAAGAACCCAGCACATCACCAAGAGCGTAAGATACAAGCCGCGGCCCACCTGGCAGGACCCTAGCACCCCTCACCCCAGCTCCTGGCGGGAGGAGAGGAGTCGGAATGGGGAGGGAGAGGGAGACCAGGACTGCTAAACACCCAGCCCTAGCCATACACACTGAGAATGCAGACACACAGTATGTGAGGTGGTGGATACCAGGGAAATAGGACAGTAAGACCTGTGAGCGGGACCCTGCAGCCGGCACACCCAGGACAAAGAAAAGCAAGTGCTTTTTGAAAGTCTTAAAGGGACAGGGACCCCACCGCTGGACGGAAGCATCCTGGGACACTTAGCCCAGCAGCTGGGAATCCCAGAGAACTCTGGGCGCCCTAACCCTCTGGGTGGCAGCACAGCTCGGAGGCCCCTTACGGCGATAAACAGCCTCGCACCTGATCCCCCTCCGATGCAGCTCCACCATATTGGAGAAGCAGCACCATATTGGAGAAGCCACACCCACAGCAATCACGGAGCTCCACAGCAGCTGGGCAAGAATTAGAAACCCCACCTGCACGCAGCTACCCAGCAAAAGCCGCTAGAGGTTGCTGTTCTCGCAGGAGAGAAAGGTCACAAACTAGCAAGGGACTTTCTCTTAGCCAACACACATGTCAGCTCCGCACAAATACCTCTATCGCCATGAAAAGGCAGAAGAATTTGATATAGACCAAGATCACAGAGGCAAACCCTGAGAAGGAGATAGACCTAACCAATCTCCCTGAAAAAGAATTAA